AGAAAACCTCTATAAATCTCTCATTTCAAAGGTTAGGAAGACCTTCAAGTATTTCACAGTTAGTTCTTCTTCCTTTGGAAACTTTCTTGCCATTGGTATCAAAGGTACTACTTGATTTTTCTTGATCACTAGAAGTCAAGTTTTTGAGTAAAGAGATTTGTAGATAATAGGAGAAGGGTGGAAGTGACTCTTAAAGTCATACTTCAAGTTGTTTTAAGGAAAGTGTTAAGATTTTATTAGTAAAAAAGTGTAAAAACTTCTTGTGAACATCTTTTTTGTGTGTGATTAAAGGATCAGCAGAAAGAAAAAAAATTTTTTAAGTAATTTTATTCTTTATATTTTTAAATATACAGTATATAAATTTTTATTAAATTTTATTAAATAATTATTTTTAAGTAAAAATAAAATAAAAAATTAAATAGACCTATAGGTCTATAGCAATAATAGTACTCTCAAATTGCAATTACAAGATTTAGAGTTCAATATCACATGAGAACTATATGAAAAAAAATAATTAAATTGTATGAGAATAGAACTTTTGATTTTCTTATTGATCACTAAGCTAAAATATATCTACTGTGAGGATTGAATAAAGAAAGATTTCTAGTTTAGTTATACAATTTATGTCTGACTATTCCTTTTTGAACTGGATAGAAAATAAATCCCAGGACTCTACTTTTAGAACTGTGGTAATTAGTTGAATATAATATAATTACATCTTTTCTGGTAGTTTTCAAGAATCTTACTTTTCTAATTTAGAATATTTCAATCTAATACTTCATTTAATTAAAAGTTAGCTAATAGGAATTGATTTGATACTATAGATAGTGATAAAGAAAATGACATGTTTTTTTCTAAAGTCTGAGCAAATAATATCTGAAAGTATTACAGGGTATATAATCCCTATAGATATATATAAAAAGGACTAGCTTAATATTTATAATTAATTGTAGCTCTATACTAAATAGTCTAGCATTATTATTGATAACTATGTATTAACTATTCAACTTCTAGTTAGATGTGTCCACTTATAGAATGGTAGTAGGTTAAACTAGAGAAAACTGCAATAAGCTATTATTAAATTATATAAATATAAAAATATATGTCTTGCATGAGATAATTGATGTCATGCTAAGAGTATTCATTTTCTTCAAATATTAAGTTAATTATTAATAAAGAGCTTGCATCTAATACCAGTTGCAGTTTATAAAAAATATATATATATAAAATATAAAAATTGAATTTAAAAAGTTTTATTTCAAACTATATTTTATTACTATTATAATAAATTTTTATAATTTTTGTTTTATAAAATCCAAAATAATATACTATATAAAGGAAATATAATATATTGGTTATTTAGAATTTTTATTTAAAAGATATATTATTAAAAAGTTAAAATAGAAATATATAATTATTATGTTGATCTCAAAAAAACTCTTTTTACTAATTCTTTGATTATACATATAAAAAAGATATTCACAAGAAGTTTTTATACTTTTTTTGCTAATAAAATCTTAATATATTCATTAAAACAACTTGAAGTATGATTTCAAAAGTTGTTTCTATACTTTTTCTCTTATTTATAAACCTTTTTATTCAAAAACTTGACTTCTAATAATCAAGAAAAGTCAAGTAATACCTTTGATACCAATAGTAAAAAAGTTCTTAAAGGAAGAAGAACTAATTATGAAATATTTAAAAACCTTTCTAACCTTTGAAATAAGAGGTGTATAAAGGTTTTCTGCAGTAAAAAAACTTATTTTTCTCTTTATGACTGTTTGTACTTTCTTAAAGCTTCTATTTTTATAGTATTTTAAGAATTTTTGTCTATTTCAGTTTAATCCTAAATTTTGAGTACACAAATTCTTATCAAAGGTAATTGGCTTATATAAAACATATTAGTTTTTGAAATATAAACAAGCTCCTATTAGTCATACTCATTTGTTCTAATAATATTATTGATAATTAGAAAGAATATTTCAAAAATATTCACTTTCTAAAAACTTAAGTCTCTTAAGAAAGATATTCATGACATCAAAAGACTAAGAGATGAATAATATAAATTGCAAATTCCTATCTCTTCCCTAAACTTCTTAGGGGATGACAAAGCTTTAATGAATAAAAGCTAAGGTTTAAATACTTTTTTTGAGATATTTCAATTTGTGCTCACTTAAATGAAAGATCAGTTGGATTAACTCATCTGATACTATAGGTGGTAACAAAAAAGATTTTTTCAGAGGTTCAAGAGAAATAAAAAGACTATTCCAATCAAACAGATTTTTTTGAAAGAAGAATTGTTTTTTTTTTAATCTCTTTTAATGGGATTTTGAATTGTTTTCTTTTCCAATTTCTTTTTTTTTCTTTTTCTTTAACTTAACAATTCATAGTTTATGAAAAACCTATAGTGACAAACTATTGGTGATAAATCTAGTAAATAGTTGTTATATATTAATTCTCTAGAGAAGTGAAACATTGTTCTCTAGATCTGATTTAAGATATTTTGATATAATGATGAGTTAGTTATTATGTAAAAAATCTGTAATATTGTAGATAGTTATATAACTTCTGATATGGTTACATGTTAAAAAAAAAAGAAATGTGTAATTATTATTTTTATAGATAAAATAACATATATAGTAAAATTTAAGACTATTGTAAAAGAATTTTGAAAATTACAAAAATATTTTACAAAGTTAATAATTTTCTAATTAATAGTAACAAAATAATTTTAATGATAATCTATTATTTCAATTATATTTAAAATAAATATAGAATTATACTGAAAAAATTAATTGAAAATATTTTATCTTTCTTTTCTATAGAGATTTCAAAATCTAAAAAAAAAGTATAAATTAATAACTTTATATCTATCTAAAAAACTGATATTATTATTATAGAAAGAACCACTTTTCTTTTAGTTATAATAGTTTTTTTTAATTTTTTGAGAAATTGTTTATCCTAGTTTAATCTTAAATTTTTTGTTACATTAAATTTTGAACAGATTGATTGGTTAAAAATTTATATTAATTGTTTTATAGTTAGTAAAAATATAAATATAAATATATATGATATATAATATAAATGTATTTTTTAAATTCTATTAGAACTTTAAATATATAATAAACTATATGACCTTATTATATATAGTAAATAGATAAATATTATATAAACTATAATCTTCTTTCTTTTATCATTTCTTGAAAGTATTATAACTATGAAATAAATATCTCTTCTATTGAAATGAAATATCAAGAACTTATTTTATTTACAACTGTAATAAATATTTTTTATTCTAAAATTATTTCAGGATTTTTTATTTTAATATAAATAGTTTTTTCATCCTTATATAATACATAATACTATTGAACTCATATTTTTTTTTGAATATATTTAATATTGATAACAGGTTACAATTATATACAGCAAATTATATTTTTTCATTCAAGGAACTAGCACATCAACTATAACAAGTTAATTAATAGAGATTTAGAAAACTGAAGATTTAAATAAGGAGTATTTACTTTTTTTCTAGATAGATAATAATATTAAAAATTTAATTCAATCAGATATTTCTAGGTGATAAGTTATCTAATAAATTTATTAAAGGTCAGGTTTTAAGAGTTTAGTGATATAGATAATATATGGCTCCATGTAACAACTTTTTTAATCTCTATATTAATTAGTATATTACTTTATCAAAGTTAATAAACATGGCCAAACTTTTATTTCAAAAATTTCATATCAAAGAAATATAGAAAAGTCATATTATCACTTAGAAACAATAGATTAATATATATAAATCAACTATTTAACAAGAAATTAAGAAATTTAGAGAAGCAGCATATATTTAGATAGGAAAAACAAAATGTGAAAGCAAATTTTAAACAGAAGTAAACAATTGACCCTTATCTATAGGGGTTAAACTGGTGTCAGTTATAACTATACTCCTAGTAGCTCCTATTGATAGCATTATTGAGATTTGTACAAATGGTCAAGCTTATATCTCCAAATAAAAAACAATAGAAAAAAAGGATCAAAGAACACACAACGTTTTAAGTGAGGATATTTTTCAAATTATATTCGAAAAATACATAAAAAAATCTATAAACATATCATCTTGTTCGAAGGATCATTCAATTATGAATAAAAAAAAAAACAGCAATGATTTTAATTCTAAAGGTCTTATTGAAAAGTTTTGCAAAATACTATAACAAACTTTCTTCAGTATTTTTTTTAAATAGTTTTTAAAAAGTTAAAATTAAAGTTTGCAATTTAATTTAATTTTTTTTTTATTCCAGATTTTTAGAGGCTAGTTTAATAACTTATGCAACTTGTGCATGACAGGATTTATAAGTTTCTGCCGTTCAAAGAACAGCCTTTTTTTTTTTTTTAGGAAGAAAAGAAGGAGTTTTTTCGAACAGTGTCACTTAATAAAATAACCAAAGTACGTAATTGGTTATTAAGACGAGTGGCATTTTTACATACTCACCATGCTAGTTGAATATTTGTAAATTTAACGTAACTTTTTAACAAATTTATAACTTTTGACGCTAATGCGGTTTTATTAAAATTTAAATTTTTAATGCTGCGAATAGTAATCATGACAAGTAAATTATTTCGCGAAGACTTTGTATAAAAAAAAAAAAGGAAGGAAGAAAGAAAGAAGATAACTTTATACGAAAAAAATTTTTAACATCGTGAAATAAAATAACAAGATCATAACTAAAAAATTATACGCCTTATAAATTCTTTTGTCATTGCAGCGTGTTATTAATAATCATAAATCATATTGGCTACGATATTTTAATTTTCATCAAAAAGCTTATTTGATTTTCAATACAGTATTTTTTTTTTTTTTTTTTTTTGCCCGGAGAGCAATAAATTAATTTTTTATATTTTTTTTTCTTTTCTTTACATGTTAAATACTCGAATGGTTTGTACCATTAATTCAAGATCACTATGAACAAAAATAAAAAAAAACAAATACATTCCTTTTTCTAACCTAAGAAAGAGTCACTTATATCTCCTGAAACAATAGCGTAAAACTTTCGGCGCTTTGGATTTTCTTCTCTTTTATTTCCAGGATCCTCATTCATCTTCTTAGTAGTGCTTGATCTCTCTTCGATGCCAAATTCTTTCTTCACCTTTATTTCATGCTCTTTTTTCACACACCTTTCTTCTCTATTTGAAATGTCCGTCACATCCATTTTATCAACCACATGTTTTCGTTTCTTTATTGTATAATAACCGATTTTATCACTTAGGCTACTAAGGTCTAAAGTGCAACTTTTCGGAGAATCAACATTAAAACGCATGCTCTGATTGTTCCTCGGATAACCATTTTGTACTTCATAATTATCCTCGAATGTTTCTGTGACCTGTGATTGTGAATGGTTATATCGTGATATTTCTGTGGCTCTGGCCTCAAATTTTTTTCGTGAAAGTAGTTTCCAAAGATTATTCGGAATCGGTTTTTTATCATGTGTTGTCTCTTCAACTCCACTGTCGAAACAATTGGCATTCGCTTCTTTTTGTGGGGGGGAATTCCGTGAAAGATTTTGTTTGCTACCATGTGGTATCTCTGCGACCCCCACACTTGGCTTTTTACTTTTGTTGTCCATTTGAATAAACTGTCTACTACTTTCGGGAATTGATCTTTCCTTCTCATTGCATTCGTCGCCATTGGAAATAATTTGAGGCTGCAATTTTCTATTCCTGTTCCCTTTTGTGTAATTATTGTAACCAACTTTTTTTATAGGTGCCTTCGTAAAAAAATCATCTAATACGTCACATTCTTTCATCTCTTCATCTATTCTTCCGCCGCTGTTTCGGCTTCGTTTGACGCTTCTATCACCATCGTTCAATTCATCACAAGTTTTGCCAGATGAATTCAAATCAATAGCATCATCATCTCTTTTGTTTCTTTTCCTACAACTTTCCCCTAGATTTTCATTTCCTACATTATCTTGAAATTTCGTGTCGTCACAGCCGTTATTTTGGATGTTAGTTAAGTCCTTCCCCCCCCCTCCCACTTCTCCAGGGTTATTGCCTTTGATATAATTTCCTCTATGTTCTTTATCTTTATCTTTGTCATTTTCACTAATGTTCATTTTAAGTTTAAATCCCTCCGCCAAGTTGATCTCATCTGATGAATCCATTATACTATCTTTCATCGCTTTTTTGTCTACTCTGTAATTATCGTTGCTAGATGACTCGACATCATAATTTCTTGGAATCTCTCCCTCCTCCAGCTCAGATGACTCTGTATCGTAATTTTCTGGAATTTCTCCCTCTTCGAGTTCACTGTGCAAAATTTCTTTATCTTTGGATGACTCAACATTGCAATTGCTTGGGATATTTGTACCCTCTTCAACTGTGGATTTCATTATATAATACAGATATTCATCATCGAAATTCAATGAATCGGCCATTGCCTTATTTCCATCCGATAAATCGAATGTGTCACATGTAGTGGAGGTAGCTGTGACTATTATAGTTGACTGGGGGGAATATTTTACCGTGTTTATCGAGTCGCTGTTATTAGTCTTTTTATGAAACTTGGAAGAGGATTTAAAAGAGTTTTTGTAAGATTTATTTGAATCGCCTTTTATGCTTTCATTTATGTTCGGATTAGAATTATTGTCAACACTGACTTCTGAGGAATCGAAGTTTCTAGAAATGCCAACGTTTGTAGAACTGGCTGCACTAGCTACTTCATCCTCTAATCTCATTTCAATGTCTTGTATCATTTTATCACTTTCAGTTTCAAAAAGTTCGCTATATTCAATACCCTCGAATACATTTTCCTCTTCATAAACATCGCTAAAGCCTTGATCTAAAATCCATTTCTCAGGTCTATAATGTAAGTGCAAGGCGGCAATAGGCCTAGGATCTGACTTGTTTACTCTTGTCGTGTATGTAGTTGTCGTTGATTCTTTACTTAAAGGGCTATATACTACTTCATCAAATGATGTGGAGTAGAGATACTCAAATGTTTGTCCCGTTGCCTTGCTTTCTCTTTTGTTTTTACCACCTGATCCTGTTTCTGCGTCAAAATCGAATCTTTCTCT